CTACGGATAAGTCAATCCATGTCAGTCGTCTTGGATGTGACAAGCCAATTCGGACATACCTGGTAAGTTATTCCTTCACGGGGCACATAGGGCCGTATCGCGTTGAGGATTCCCCAATGGGGCCGTATCCAGCTGCTGGGAACAAAAGGGGTCCTGTGTCCTCAGGAAATTTCTTGGTTGCTGAACTTCCCGTTTTTGAAGCGTGTTACGCTTCCTTCCCCTCCCTAGTCGGCTGCATGGCATCCTTAACACTTCCACTGACTGTGCGTGTTTACTCTCACTTTCGTCCGACGGGAGCTTTGGAGTGAGTGATGGGTGAGGTCGTATTGAAGAAGAAAATATGAGGGCATGCGCAATATTTTCCTCATCACGATGATGTGCCATATTTTCGTATCCTTTTACTTACATTTTCTTTACTTTTACGCTTTGCTGTGTTATTGAACGATTGTCCTCTTCAGGGTCATCGCAATGAAGTGAACGCTATCAAATACGATCAACATTCCAATAGGCTTGCTTCGTGTTCCGATGACATGTCCTTGAAGGTACGTTGAGGAAAATTGTTGTGTTATTGATCGTGTACTGTTGTAATCACTTGATAAAGGGTGTGTATTGTTAGTCTCGAGTCGCATTGAGCACTGCGATGGAGTTCTCGCGAGCGCGGTCAAATGCCCAGCATTCGCACCAGGACCCAATCGATTCACCGTGGCGGTTCTCTGTTGTGTTAAGTCAACTAGCAAGAACGATTCTGCTGCTTTGCATACGATGTCGCGATTCGGAACTAATGATATTCACCCTTAAACGAATACGTTGTTGACTATAGCTTTTTGGCGCTGTTCCAAGAGAGTGGGATGTTTTGGTGCAAGGGTTCTTCGGAATACGGTAGTCTCCATTTTGCATAAGGTGTTTGTTAACACATTCCGGACTGGCCTACAGCGGACATCGCGCTTCCTCTTCAAGTCGTTGATCAGTAGTTGCATCTGTTTTCTCAATTTCGTGAAGGATGCGTCCCATACTTCACTAGTCAAAGGACGAAAGAAAGGAGAGAGTATATGGCTGCGCATGTATGTCACGTAGCGCGAAAGGTATTTAAGCTGTGAATAGTTACGAACTTCATTTCCATGCCATTTCTTCGACTTTTTTCATGTTGGACGGGACTTAATGCTCGTAGGTATGGTGAGTAGGTTCATACTAGGGGTAGGTTTTTATTATCAGGTACAACTTGCGCCATCGCGTGCAACAAGGAAGGTTTGAAGGGATAAACTATTTTAAACTGTAGGAAGTTCGTTCCACTTGGGATTGGGCAAAAAAAGCTTTTCTTGCCTGTTCATAATACATGCAGTTCTGTGGTGGTTCTATATGTCCTGAGTGTTCTTCAGGGGAATACACTGGTTCGAAGAAGATGCGCAAAATCGTTTTTTCAAACCCTGGTTTCAGTTGTCTTCTTTTACTATCTGCATAAACTCCGTTCTCATACTTTACACTCTTATCGTCTGCATTCCGCAGCGGCGAGTTGAGCACGTGAATTGGCAGGCCTCTGCATTAGTTTCGCAAAAAAAGGACCGCAAAGTGATGCATTCTCACGTTTTCTTGGAAGGAAAGTGTAAAATCGATTGCTGGAACTAGTAGTAGTGAAATCAGACTCATTACTCATTCAGCTTTCTTTCTCGTACAGAACTCATCTGAAGAGCACTTGATCTCGGGTGATGAGGGAGGGGTCAATTCTTCCACTATGTTTCAAGTCCAGGTTAATTCTCACTATGACCTCCAATCTCTTGGTGATAATTAACACTGAGCTCGAGTATCGGCTACCTAGAATTACTGTCACCATCGCTTACTTAAACGCTAGGCGAAGAATTTTTGGTGAAAAAAGTAGAGTTTTCCTAGTTGGAATATTCACGATAGGAATGTCTGGTCACGATAGGAATGTCTTTATGTTCCAGATCTGGTCGTTACAAGAAGATCAACCGGTATATGACTGGAAGGCTCATGAAAAGGAAATCTACACAATACGATGGAGCCCACTTGGCCATATGTTAGCGAGGTTGGTTTTATCTAAGTGAACCGCTTCAGAATTGAACTTGCTTATAACTGGATCATGCTCAGTCAACGTTAAAGAAACTTTGTACATTTATATGTGAGATGTGCACGTCCGTACTTTGGATGTGTACCGCTTTAGTTTCCCTGAAGTGCAGGGGAATGGAGGAAGAGTGTTGTAGCGAGTTGTTCACGTCTCCGACCACTATCCAATACGCGAAGAGCAGACCACAAGCGCGCAGCACGCCACACGTCCAGCCACGTTCCTAGCTATGGCCGCACGCAATGCATGTGCGTACCACCTCTCGTACGGCTGAGACGCTGTTGTTGCGCGCATTGCGTATCGAATGACGGCCGAGACATGAGAAAGAACAATCTGTCTCCATTCCTGGGCACTTTCAAGTGGTGAAGTTCAATGGTCAAGTTTAATTTCCAGGGTATAGCGTTGCTTCTGTACCACATTTTTTTTCACTTTTACCAACGTGGAAAACTTAGTCAAACTGTTATTTTTAGTGCATCATTCGATCATACCGTCCGCCTGTGGGATGTAAGACGTGGTGAACTCGTCCGGACATTATCCCGTCACAACGATCCCGTGTATTCCGTCTCCTTCTCACCTGATGGGCGTTATGTTGCGTCTGGTTGTTTCGATCGATCTGTATTTATTTGGGATATTCAGGTATTTCTCTGACATTTTTATTCCCAGGTTTACAGCCTGTTCGCGACAAACAACCTCGCTTATTCTTATGTGGTGATTTGACGTGTTTTTGAAAAATATCGTATTCAGACAGGTAAATGTCTGCAAAGTTACGTTGGTGAAAAACGCAAAGGTGGCATTTTCGAAGTGAGTTGGAATTCCCGAGGAGAGAAAGTGGCTGCAAGCGCCAGTGACGGAACGGTAAGTGTTTTTGTTCACTTCGTCGAAAGATTCCGTCGAATTACCAATTCCTCTTCGACACTGAATTGTGGACGGAATTCCTGGGACCCATGCTCGCGATGCGCCTGACTGGTTGGAGCGCGTCCCTTCAGTGCCTATTGGCCATCGCTGGTAGCGTTAGGTCCTGGCGCAGTGTCGCGGAATTATGCCGCTTGTCGCGCCCGCGCTGTTGGCGTGGAGTATCTTTAGTATCCACATAATTGTGAGTTATACAGCTCATCACGAATTAGGGAGCTCTCGGTCTGTCACTGTTATTGGAGAGGCGGCACGCTGCGGCGCGACTCAATGCACCCGCAGCGCGCTCTAACAGAGATATTAGTTTCTTACCCTGAAAATCACCCGCTATTGGCTGGCACTCGCTTGAAGCTTTTGGTAGAGGATAGCACATAAGAAAAAGAACTCTTCTTCGTGAGATTTAAAGGACTCAG